TAATTATTGCGCACTGTGTCACGGGCCCTTGTTTGTGGTCAAATATGGGGGGGGGGAAAGAGGGAACATCAATACAGATTAATAATGCATGGATTTAATCAACACCAAAATCGTATTTGAACTGGTTTGAGGGGAGAGGAAAGGGTTTGTAAGTGAGGAAATGGGTTGGTATGAAAACCTGTTTGCTGTGGACCAGCTACTCTCGGATGTGTATAATGAAGACATAACCGGCGGACATGAAGAAAACAGCAGATGGTATATACATAACATCATCCCCTCACCCCAGTCCACTCACAGTCATATTCAAATGGCGCACTTTCAGTGATAATTATCTCGGTCGTAATTTTGTTTGTTGTAGGACCGATGATTTAAAATGTAATTCAGTTGACCCAGTATGTTCACACAGCAGAGGATATCTTTCCAATAATTCTTCTATGATTAGGGCAGTAAAGGCGCCGGTCATAGTAGCCGCGCTGTCTAAGGCATGAACTGTTTTTGGACCCTGGGATCGTGGGTTTGAATCCCACTCAAGGTATGGATATTTGGTGTGTGTATATGCGTTTATTCTGTGTTTGCATTGTCCTGTGTTTAGGTAGCGGCCTTGCGACGTGCTGATTACTCGTCCAATGGGTCCTACTCTTTGTAAAAATTATTACGAAACTGAATTAGAGGCCTGGGGCCTCAATGGGCTGCAAAAGACATTGAAAAAAAATTCATTAAAGGTAAAGTTGTCCCTTTGTTTAGCTAATTAAGCACTACGCCATGAAGGCGAATGAGAGTGGATGTATAGATCCACATTTGCTTGACCTCGGCATTAGTTGGAGGTGAGTGGTCAGCTTCACGCCCCGGCCGCTTTACACCCAGCACCTATTGAATAGGAGGCTGGGTGGGTCCCAGAGCCGGCCTGGACGTAGTCAGTCGCTATACCGACTAAGCGCTCCCAGCTCCCGTACTGTGTCAGTTCAGTTTGGAACTTGCAACCTGGCAGTGTTGATTGGGAAACGCATAATTAATGGATGATGCCGTGACTCTGTTCTAATTACGTGTTAACGAAGATCTCGTGATTCTACATGAGTAGGAAGTGTGAACGGAAGTCTTTCGGTGCCGGGAAATACATTTCTTATGCTCTTGTTGGCAGGAGGAACGTAAAACAAGTCCTCTTTCCAAGTGGACATATGAGCCATTATGGCTCAGCCTCTGATTTGTAGGAAGGATCGTACGCCGGAAACTTTCTTTCCATGTCCTAGACATGCTTACTAACTGTAGCTCAAGCGGTTAGTCGCTGGTTCGATCCCGGGGTCTCGTCAAGTGAGATTTGTGGTGTACCAAGTGGTGCTGGGGCGGATTTTCTCCGAGTACTTCGGTTTCCCCTGCCAGTCTTCATTCCACAAAATGCTCCATCATCATAATCACCCGGGGCAGGGTAGAATAGGCCAATCAGTGGCTGCCCTACCGAGTGGACCCAGTTGGACTCCACCCCCCACTAAGCGAATTAAAACAAAAACTCACTCCACGGTGGTAGGGCAGCCAGTGGGATTTGATTGTTGTTCTTCAGCATGTTTTCCTGGTCGCAGAAAAGATGTGGTTTTCATGTGAATAATCAATCAAAGTCCTGAATTAAATTAAAATTCCCGCTAATCGCTTTCAGTTGTCTCTGCAGCGCAGGGTCGTCCTCTCTAAGGAATAACACTTCGATCTTCAGACTGCGTCCTGAGCGCGGCTCCTAACATTAATATTTTCAGTTAGCTCAGCGATTCAGTGCCTCAAGTTTTGTCAACTGCGGCTCATTCGCTGTCTGTCTGTCTCTGTCTATCTACAGTCCGTGAGCACCTAGTCCGCTTTTTCAATTTCTTAATCCACACACAGTTGGTAGGGATGGTAGGACCAGGGATCAGCCCGTCGCAAGGCCACTGCCTACACACAGAACAACACAAACAGAATAAATGCACACAGATATCCGTGCCTCGAATGGGAACCCACGATCTCCATGTCCGAGCGAGTGAAGAAAGTTCATGCGTTACACTGCGCGGCCACTGTGATCAACTACCGTTCTTTCATAAACTCCGTGTCTTTTAATCCGCAAGCGTACTATAACGACCGCGTGACCGCCGCTTGTCGGCGAAGTTAGTGTCGCGTGGTGAGCGCAACGGATCCATTCAAATAGCTCCTCAATTATCGTTACGAGCCTGAATGGACCCCGTTCTCTCATACATAATTAAATACTTCATAACTTCAGCAGTTGATACAGTATAATAAATTACCGAATAAGTAAATAGTAAATCATTTTTCTTCTCCCTTCCCTCAGTCGTGCGCAGTTGTGATCTGCGCGTGTCACGGTCTCATTGCATATTTCTCTTTTATTGTGAGGTTATTCTAAAAAAAATCATTTTCATTTCAGGAAATGCAGGATGTATTCAAAGTGTACGGCATCATAGTGGACCCGCGCCACCTTCTGCTCATCGCCGACTACATGACCTTCAGTGGAAAGTATGAACCTTTCAGTCGGAAAACCATTGAAGACAACGCATCTCCTCTGCAGCAGATGTCGTTTGAGTCTTCTGTTAATTTTTTGAAGATAGCAGTGACACGGGGTACGTAATCAGTCAGACTGTACCAGTTCTTACTCATAGATTCTTCATCTTTCACGGACTGCGCTCGCTTTTTAGTCGATTAAGAATTAATTAATTGAATCGTTTAGACATACCGCATTGGTAGGAATCATTGGGTTTGGAATCGGTACATTTCAAGGCCTATGTTTACATATGATATCAGAACGCAGTTTTGGCAGTTCTTCACTTCCTCGAACCTCGGTCGTCGTTGTTGACGTCACGTGGTCTTCGAACCACGTTGAATGAATGAATGTACGTATAGGGGGTGGGCCTTCTCGGCCCTTGCACCGCGACCTGCAGTGATCTATTGTAGAACCACGTTGAAGTGCTGAGAATAGTTTGAGGGGCAGGAAATGGGAAAAATGTTCAGGGCGTGAGCATGAGATGCTCTTCAGAGCTTAACGGGCCTTTTTTTTTTTTTTAAATCGCTTAGTGGGGGGTGGAGACCAACTGGGTTCACTCGGCACGGCGACCACTGATTGGCCTATTGTAGCCTGCCCCGGGTGATTATGATGATGGAGAGTTTGGTGGAATGAAGATTGGCAGGTGAAACCAAAGTACTCGGAGAAAACCCGCCTCATCGCCACTTTTTTCCCCCCTTGGCACTACAACCCCAGTGGTCCTAGGCCTACCTCCATGAACTTCTCCGTTCACTTCGGTTTTTCTAGATCTAACACATTCGGTAGGACTCCTTGGGCGGGTGATCAGCTCGTCGCAAGGCCTGTACCTGTACACAAACACAGGAAAACGCACACACAAACTAAACATCCATGCCCTGAGTGGGATTCGAAAACACGATCCCGGTTTCCAAGCGAGCGAAGACCCACCACCACTTTATCCACCACAAACCCCACTTGACCATACCCGGGATCGAACCCGGGTCGCCGCGTTGGGAAGTCAGCGACTAACCGCTTGAGCTATGGCGCGGCCTTAATGGCCTTGCTCCGATGAGAGAGGGTTTACAGAAGAAGTCACTGGATAACACTTTGCCGATGAAATTATGTACTTGATTTATTTGACAGCACTACACAGACTTACAAATGGGTCACTTTAGGTAGCGGGTACAACTCTTCTGGTATGCAACCGTGCGCAACACCCAATAGTCACAATGAATATACTGGGTACATGTACACACATTTGGAAAGTACTGATATTTCTGTTATTATTGTGCTGTATACACAAATACTGAATGTTACACTCTGATGATCTGCCTAACGCCATCCGAAATCACTCCTTTAAATACTCTTGGATGACCTAGTACTTTCAGAATATTCTGCGTTGAGAATGGTCTGGAAATTTCTCTAATTGGGCTAGTGGGAGGAGTAAGCGATTCATATGCCGCATCGGCTATCAAAGATCATTCTAGTAACTCTTATCTAGGCCGTGCCATAGCTCAAGCGGTTAGTCGCTGGCTTCCCACCGCGGCGGCCCGGGATCGATCCTGGGTCTGGTCAAGTGGGATTTGTTGTGGACAAAGTGGCGCTGGGGCAGGTTTTCTCCGAGTACTTCGGTTTCCCTTGCCAATCTGCATTCCGCCAATTGCTCCACAATCACCCTCACTTATCATCTGGGGCTGGTACAATAGGCCAGAAGTGGCCGCAGTACAAGGGACTCAGTCCCATCGCACTAGCATTAAATAAAATCTCTTACCTAAACATACCTCTCCACAAATTCTTAGAATAGTTAATGCAAAACTGAGTATAAGTCACATTTAGCATAAGACTGGTATTAAGTCTTAAGCATTAATATTTAGGAATTAGGCCGGTAGTTAATGATCGGTTAAACAGATAACCACGGACATAGATCGAGGCTCCAAATGGGGCTCAAATCTGTGACCCCAGTGATCAAGTGATGAAAGACTCTACGCACCTTAGGGAGCTAGTGGTACACTAACCGAGGATATGCCTTTGCAGAGTCGACTGGACTGGACTCTATTCGATTGTGTTGAGTGTTAAACCCGTCGGCCTCTGTAATCGGATGTTTGCTTTCTGGGAGTACTTACGCAATAAGAATGATTATAACGCCATGGTGTAGTGGTTAGCATCCATGCTAAGTACTTATCCTGGTGACTGAATATTTTGAGCTTTTCCCTTTCCTCAGCCCCTCCACACGAATGAGATAGTACCCTAAAGTAGGTCACGATCATCTTTTTTTTTTCATGATCATAATTCAGCATTCATATCTCGTCTCAACAATATAATTCTTACAGTACCATCAATACAACTTTCTAGTGGTGTTAGTCCTCTACATGTTTCTGCCCTATTTCTGGGTCGTCTTAAGGTGGTATACGCACTGAAACACTAATTCCTGACGCCTTACATTCTAACGGAACAGGGGCCCCTTGTTCATAAGCAGTATCCTGTTGGACATGTCATAAGGTCAGGTGGTGAGTTATAGAAGTATACATGTGAGAATATGCAGGCAATAAAATTAAATTAAATATATTGTGTGTGTGAGGATGTGGGTAAGTTGTATATAAGTGTCCATGTGATGAGCAGATATATGTTGGCCTTTTTGATTGCCAGTTTTAGTTGGGTTAAAATTATTATTACAGTTGGGTTGAAATATTAAAAATAACGTTAGAGTAACATGTGGGAACGCTGTGGTTCCCTGTAGCTGTTGTACTAGTCGTATGGTATGCGTGATAGTACTCGTTACTAGACTTTATAATTAGGTGTTGGCCTGTAACATGAAAGTGAAGTTTATGTTGGCTTTGCATGTAATGTTATGTTGGTTTGTGTTATGTTGTTACTTCCTTCTGAAACTTGTTCCAACTGCGTGAAATGAGGTACATTTTATTATTCTCTATGGCAAATGTAGTAGTATAGTCTGTAATAATTGCATATTATTATTGCATTGTTAAGCCGTATATAGTGTGGCCGTATTTTTCAGTCAGTCTGGTATGGAGTGTTTTATTATGCTACATATTATGTAATGTTCTGACTTTGTGTGTGGTAAATCCCTTTGTAGGAATACTTTCTGGGATTACTCTTGTATCTGGTGTTACGGTTTCCTATAATCCGTTGCGCTGCCCACTCCCCACGCGACACCCTCTATCCGCAAAAGTTGGCACTAACTTCGCCGACAAGCAGCGGTCGCTCGGTCGGTATAGTTCGCTTGCGGACTACAGGCCACTGAGTTTGTTTTCATTTTATGATTAATTGTGTGTTCTGTGGACGGAATTGCATTTTATACATATGTAGCCAGCGAAATCGCGACCTGAAAATGCTCGTCAAGGGCTCTATTAGTAATAGGTCAGTATAAGGATTATCTGAGGAAATGTGAACTGTCAGTATTTCCCGTTAAATTTTCAACGGGCATGTCACTAGTACCAGCGATATCTGACTGTCGGTGTTGGTAGGAATAGCTGCCACTTCGAATTAGGCTTTTTTGGTCGTGGTAATCCCGCTGCAACAGGGACAGCGTGGGGCAGTGCCTAGGCCTCGTGCTGAGGGTGAGTGAGGGTTAAGGAGATGTAGGGGACTGTATCATAAGCTCGGTACCGTGAAATTGGTTTTCTCTCTGTTTCTGGCGCGCATTGTACACTAGGCGCGTCATGGTATAGCTACCACAGCTAGGGGTGTGTAGGAGAGGGCAGATTTACCACGTTCAGCTCTTTATTTCATGACTCCATTACGTTTTGGAACATTGAACCGAGTTGAATTAGCGTAGTGGAAACATTTGAAATTATGTGAGCATCCTGTATGGTCTTTTTCCTGTAATTCCATATAGCATATTTTTTAGAAGCTGCTAGTCGCTTAGCTATGGAACCGGAGTTTTCATTATCGTGTTCAGAATAGCTCTCTACCAGACCCTATACTGAGCCAGATGAATCCTATCTACATCTTCACACCCTCTTTGTCACTTTAATGTTGTCCTTCCATCTATGATTGTGTCCCATGTGGATGTTCTGACTACAATTTTTTATGCATTTCTCATCCCTCGCTTGCCTGCTACATATCACGCCTATCATTTATGTGTTCACGCTAATGATGTTTAATATTGTCACTTGTATGGGGTGTGCGTGACTTAAAAGAAGGCAATACGGCGCTATCGCTGATCTGAACACTTTATAGTTCTCCGTTACACACGCACTAGGGTTCTTAGTCTTCACTAGTCGTATCCTGGCAACGGATTTATAACAGTCTGTCCTTCAAATCACACATGAAGTCTCCTTTGCACTGCATAATTCCCTTCTTGTCATTGTTCTACAACTGCCAATTCCGAAGACTCGACTGAATTCAATTCCTCAGAGTCAAAGTCACATTGCGACTGACGGTCAGTCAGTCTNTCATAACTGTGTAAGATTTGAGGCTTTCACGGCGGTGACTATGAAGAAAGCAGTCTTCTGGGATTTGGCACCGTGTATATATACACGGTGCCAAATCCCAGAAGACTGCTTTCTTCATAGTCACCGCCGTGAAAGCCTCAAATCTTACACAGTTATGATCTTGTTTTTGTGGGGCGCCCTCTCTGACGAGAGGACGGGTCTCTCTTTTGTTAGAGTCATTGTCTGAAGTAGTAATTCATTTGTCATGTAAAGGATATTTACATTTTAAAAATTAAACCTGTAAATAAATATGTACAAAATATATACAGCGCCTCTGTCAGAAAAGAGCTTCTAGAATACCGTACGATGGACAAAGTTCGAAAACCTAGTAATTCTATGTTGTACCATCGTCAGAACCCTTTAGAATCTAATTGTTCGGTGTTTAAAACGATGCATGTACGTAAATTATGCAAAGAATCACGAACAAGCGAGCAGTCTATTTCAATCTATCGTGCTGTTTGTTCAGCATTAATAATATTTGTTATACAGGGTTATTCATAAGTCTGTGAAACATTTTGAAAATTTACAATAAAGAAACTACGCAACGGATGCCAAATTTTATTACACTGAAATAGAGATAAACTCACCAAGTTTTTTTACATAGTTCACAGATGCTCAGTATGTCCACCTTTGCTGATACGGCAGACATCTT